ATATAAGTATATATAAGTATAAAAGTCAAGTAACTACAAAAATTTTAGAAATAGGTAATCAAAAAGTTTATTTTAAAAGAAATTTAGAGAATAAAAGTTGGGAAAAAGGTGTTATAAAATCTGTAAATAAAAGTAGACCGAGATCATACAATGTTCAGCTAAACAATGGTAATATTTTAGAAAGAAATAGACAATTTATTAGTTTGGCAGAAGATTGTGATGATCAAGGTGATAATCAAGTTAATAATTACATAACTCGATTTGGAAGGGAGGTAAGAGCCCCAGATATGCACATAGATTAGAATATTAAATTAAAAATAATTAGTTAGTTTATAAAATGATTTATTTAAACAATTATGGTTTCTATATGTACATATATAATTATGGGTTAAAAAAAAAATATATATATATATATATATATATATATATATATATATATATATATATATAAAATAAAAACAAATTAAAATAAACATATCTAAGTCGGATTAGTTAGTTAAGTTATTTGACGAGTGAATTCTTATGTTTATATAAAAATATTATTATTATTAAAAAAGAAAATTACTTACCTGGAATTGGATTTTAGGATATTTTAAGTCTTTATTTGTTATAGAAAAAAAGGGATGTAATATATAATGTATGTAACAATCTGTATATATAATATTAGGTAGGTACACATTGTATATTAAAGGTGTGCTCTTTTTATGTATAAACATTATTAATAAAGTTTTAGTTTAAAGCCAACAGTCGTTTCAATAACATACATTACAGTTTTTGCGGACAGTTGTCGTGATAGTTAGTTAAAATTGTTAAGAACTAGTTTAAATTCCTAATTCCCTTAGATTCATCCCCTCAAGAAAGAAAGGTTGCAACCGACATAAGGAAAAAAACGTAGGACAAATTTCCTTACAAATTACAGTTTACTATTTTTTTGTACCTGCCCCAAACCAGCGGCTTTAAATAAAATTAATGGAATCAGCGAAACAAAGCGAATTTTAATTAAAAGGACAGTACAGTTTAACTTTCTGAAATGTCTTTTGTTTTACTATTAAACAGCATCTTTGTTATTTAAAAAACAACTAAGTTTTGTCCGCTTTAGGCAATCAAAAATCATTTAGGATCCATCTTTCAGATTTCTAAAAATCTTAAGGGATAAATATTTTTGAGGTTGTTATTATTAGAGGTTTTTTTTCAAATTTATTGGCATCTTGAATTCTGCTCCAAATATATCAGACTATTATGAAAATTATGCAATTTGGAGAAAACGGATTTTGGAAGTCCTCAAATTTCAAAATATTGTCAAAAATGACAGCACGGTTTGAAAATTATTCCTAATATCAGTTTTAAGGTAGTATCCCCATTTGAATAGTTTTCATAAAATGTCTTCACAATCTATGATTTTGAGAGGCATCAGACAGATTCACAAATAATTTCAGATTTTTTACAGCACAGATTTTAAATAATTTGTTTTCATACGCCATTTTTTTATTTTATTTCTTACGAGCTCGTTTATGAGATTTCTATAAAAATAAACTATAATAATTAATTTCTAAGCTATCAACATGATCCTATTCTGTTTTTCGAGTTTAGAAACAAAATTTTAAAATAATCTATGGGAAATATGTGAAATAAAACTTCTGTACAAGTGTTATTTTAAATAGATTCTTATAAAAATTCGTTTATAAACTCAAGCTACGTCATCATTTTGACTTGAAAATGGATTATTACATGTAAATATACTGTATAGGTACAGCATATTTTTTATGGAAATCTCAAAAAACAACTTTTTGCCATAATAACAACACATTAAGAATTAATATTGTTACTTATAATTTTTATACTGTTTTTAGTTTTTAAAGATACTTTAATTTGTAATAAAGTATTAATTTGTTAATTAAAATACGTTTTATTTGTACTGCATTGGCACCGCTGAATTTGATGTCACGGCCTACTGTTTTTTATTTATAAAACTCTTCAAATGGAGATACTACCTTAAGGTAGTTGTCGTTGTACAATATTGTCAAAAAGTTTTAGATTATAAATACGCACCGTAAAAGTATACGAGCTTGTAGCTAAGTGATTTATAATTTTTTCGCAAGACTGTACCCTGGATACGTTACCTTTACGTAATACTTTCAAATATTTTCATAAGTTTTAATCCGGCAACGTCGCTTATGCTCAACCAATAGATATATTGGAGACTGAATCAGACTGTTTGAATTTTCTGCGGAAATAATATCTATACCCGCGTACAGCGTTGCCAAGTTGTTTTTATCTGACACTAGTGATGTATACTTTTTACAAATTGTTGAACTTTAAACGGTTATTTATAAACCATTGGACGGTAAAAAAATTTTAATTATTTTTTTTAAACTCAGCAAAAACACATTAAAAGACTGTTAGTTTTTTGAAAGCTTCTGACAGTTAGTTTTTTTTATAACTAAGAAACTGGTACAGAACTACAGAAAGCGTATGTTAATTATCCAATTTTTAATTGAATTTATCTCGGGTTATAGACGGTCAATCGACTTCAAATTTTAAGGATAATTGTATTGTCATGTCCTTAATATACAAAAATTTAAAACTTTTTGATGGTATGCTTACAGCACGACAACTACCTTAAACCACTCTATAATTTATAGTCTTTTAACAATAAAAATCAGACCCTGCGTAAAATCCGGTAGTTCTGATTTTTTGCCGAGTTATTTATGATATTGGCCCAATGAATATTCTAAGTCGACCTTGGGCCCCGAAAGCAACCTTGTAAAAAATCCAAGAAAAACTCAAAATTTTTTACCTTTCTTCAGTTTATGGCGATTAAAACACTAGGACTAGTTTTTCGATAATAACTTTTTCAAAAATACTAAATCTGCTACAATTTGAGACCTGTTGACACAATAGTTTTTTTCTTGTTCTGCGGGAATATTGTTTTGCTCCTTTTACTTATTGTTTTTTTTTTTAAATTTGTTCTGCGGAAATATTGTTTTGCTCCTTTTACTTATTATGTGGAAATCCTATAAAAAAAAATGAGAGGTAAAAATTATTATTTTAATTTAATTTAAAAAAATTAATGCATTAAAACAATAAAAAATAATACAAACAGAATAATATTATTATAGTTCATTTTGCTAGGTTGTGGATCGTCCGTTTCTTCCCTAGAAACTTCTGCAGTTGGATTTTCGATGTCCTCTGGGAAATCTGGGAAATCTATTCACAGTACATCCTTTGGCATTTTTATATCAGTCATATTGTCAGATAAGGGACGAGCCTGTCAGGATCTTCCTCTACCTGCAGTACTTGAATGCTAAGGTTTTTCATTTTTGTTTTTAGGAAGGTGATAAAACAAATTTTGTTTTTGTCGTTTGACAATACATTTTTTTAAGAAACCTGAACAATAGTTTGTTCATCATTTGTTCATCATTAATTCCGGAGATTAGTGTGACTTGGCTCTGCGCTCTTCGTGCCTTTTAAACAAACCACAAATTCTTCATCCGACTGTTTTAGGACACATAACCTGTAAAACAGTAATAAAGGATAAACATTGACTTTTTTATCACCAATAGTAATAGTTTAAAGAGCTAAAGAAAGGGATACTTTGAATTGCACTTCCTGTTGTTAGCATCGATTCCCTTTCAATCCGTCATGTGGCCGTTGACAGTAGCTTTTCCAACCTGACCACTGCTGATGGAAATAATAAAATCCGTTTGGGAAATGAAGGATGCTGCGAAAGTTTTTTTAAGTCTGATATAAGATGGTCGCATGTCTACATACTGTTCAGTTGCATAGTTAACGTCGCATTATGTTTCTACTTCATTAAATATATTCTGTAGATGCCCATTGTTTACCGGGAGAGTACACTGTTAATTATTTCACGTCCTTAAGTAAGCCCTCTATAGCTTTTTATGGAATTCATGAATACTTGCCTGTCATTTTGAGATCTGTGATTTGTTATATTGACTATATTTTTACATCTGGCATTTTTACAGTTGTCACTTTAACAACTGTCCTTTGGATTCATGTAATTTAGACTATATTTTTACCACCTCCCACTTATACCTCATTTTCATACCTTATCCACAATCCATGTGGATTGTGACCTTATCAATGAATTAAAATATATTTGCTTAAACAAACAAAACATGGCAACCCTAGTTAAGAGTAGCATTTTGAGATATTTCGGAAGTTTGGGACCTTTTGAGATAACAACGAGCAACTTAAGCTCCGAATTTCGGGATTGACAACTCAAGGAAGAAATAGTCTAAAACGGAACAATAAAGACGTCGTCTACTTTTACTAGTTTCTGAAGAAAATAGGTCCACATGTAGTAGGGTAGGTTACTGGACTAATTCAAAAATAGGCCTGCATGCAGGGTAGGTTACTGGACTTATTTGAAATCCTCCTTGGGAAAGGCACATGCTCTTTTCCAATTATCTACTTTATATGGCATCCTATACATTTCGAATAAAATTTGTCAAATTTCCACAAAACAAAATATTGCTAAAAATTTATGCGTTTTAAAAAAACGATAAATTTTAAATAGCTGTGTTTCAGAAACTATTGGGACGGGTGTAGCAAATTTAGTCTACTTTAAAAACCTAATAAATAGTTATTATTAAAAACCTACTCCTTTAGGGTTAAAATTGACAAAAACGGAAGAAAGGTTGGAAATTTTGCTGTTTTTTAAGTTTTTTGACAAGGTTGCGTTCGGCGCTCAAGGTCGAAAAGTTGAATTATTCGTTAGGCCAATATTATTAACCACTCAGCAAAAAACAAAAGTACCGGATTTGACGCACGGTACAGAGACAAAGTTACTATTAAAAGATTTTTTAAATTTTTGTTGTATACAATTTTTGCACCCAAAAATAAAAAGAATAAATAATTAGATTTTTAACAATTAATCATTGATATGCATCTAAACTTAAATATTACTTTTTATATAAAAGTAAATAAGTTTATTGGCAAATAATTACTTTATTTAAAAGTTATTTATTGTGTTTCAGGAAACATTAAAACAAGTTTTTTAACAGGCAGTACGTTTAATGTTTCATGGCATTTAGGATATCCACATAGGGTAAGTAAAATTTACATAATCATATTTATTCTAGTTTCCTATATTATATAATATTTGTTTAAATTGGAACATTTAGTATTTTTAAGTTTTTTGTTTGTAATAATTTTAAAAGTTTTTTATTTTAATTCTTAATTTTATTAGGTTTTTATTATTTTTATGTATTTTTGTGGGCATTTTTGTATTATAAAGTTTTTATTATTTTCCATAAATTTTTATGATTTTTAATGTCAATCATCAATTTATCAATTTTTATATTGTTTTTCGTAATTTTACATTTATTATGGATTTTTGATGACTTATTATTTTTTACTGAATTGATTTTAGAGCATTTCCACGAAAACGCGGACACGAAAAGCGAAATGTCAATCAATAAATTATGTCATATTTTGTTAATAATAACATTAAGGAAGGTTTACATGTGGTGTTCCAATAATACATGTTGATATATAACTGATAATTCATGAATGAACAGCATAGCAGACGCACTGAGTTTTTATTGAGCATATAATATATATATATATATATATATATATATTAGGGTGCTTCAAAAAAATTTTTTTTCGCTCTTACCCTCTCAAATGTTTTTATTTAATATAAAAGAAATCCTCACCAAATATGGGCGTTCCAGCTCAACTCTAAGAGGTCGCTGTTTTTATTTTAGTTTCCCATTGAATTAACATGGGAAAAAATTAATTTATGTTTGGAATTTTATACCTCTGTATCAAAGTAACTTATGGCAATGATCATTGCAGTTTCTTATATAAAATTTATATAATAAATAATATTATTATTTTTCGATAAATTAATTTCTTCTAGAGTTATTCTAGGTCAAAGTTTTCCCCCTTTCACCTCCCGTCTGCTAATTGTACCAGAAAATTTGATGTTAATCAAACTTTGACCTCGAATGACTCTAGAAGAAATTAATTTATCGAAAAATTATAAGAGACCTTTTTTGTAGAGCGTTAAATTTTATATAAGAAACTGCAATGATCATTGCCATAAGTTACTTTGATACAGAGGTATAAAATTCCAAACATAAATTAATTTTTTCCCATGTTAATTCAATGGGAAACTAAAATAAAAACAGCGACCTCTTAGAGTTGAGCTGGAACGGCCATATTTGGTGAGGATTTTTTTTATATTAAATAAAAACATTTGAGAGGGTAAGAGCGAAAAAAAAATTTTTTTGAAGCACCCTAATATATATATATATATATATATATATTATATCTCTTGAGTTTTCGAGTAACAGAAATCTCGGAGACAAAATAGTTAGCTCTGATTTAATATTCAAATTCATTTATGGTATCTTTAAGTATATTTCGACGCTGAGAAAATTTTTCTTAAAGAAAATTTGATCAATGCAAAGCATTTTCAATTTTTTGAATTTTTTGTGTCGGTATACGATGTTATGTATGTTTTTTCGTAACGTATACGTTACGAAAAAACATACATAAGTTCGTCTACTGGGTGAGAGAATTATCAAATACGTTCCAATTTTCATATACAAAGCCAAAAGTTAGCACGATATAACGTGAAATTTTTTTATATTTTTAAAACAAGTATAAGTTAATTTTTTTGCGTAACGGACGGACACCATTGTATTTTTCTTATGTAACCGAGGTGCAAGAAACGACTATTTCTGAGTTGTAACTTACTGATGTACGGATTCAAGGTTTTACATTGATTGCTTGTCTCAACTGTCAAAGTAATGAATAAAAATATCTAGAATTATTAATAACATTTGTTATATACAGTGTGTCCACGGATGGACTTAACTATACTTGTAATAGTTATTTACGTGTCAAGCTTTGTAAATGAATCTTTACGGGCGAGCTGGGAGTTTGTGGGGTGAGCGATGCAGGAGCGAACCCCATAATTCAGTGAGCCTAGTAAAGATTAATTGCAAAGCGTGACACGTACAAACTTTTATTTTCACCTTAAGATAACGATTTTCAAATTTAAAATTTCAATTAATGTGTCAAACGTGTCATTTCATTTCATAAATTGCTTTTCTACAGGCCTGTAAAACTTTACAGGTCTTTTATACAAGCCCGTAAAATATTACAGGTCTGTTCCCATAATGTATCGTTTACTTGGATACAAAAACAACAAAATTAACCTATAAAATGTCATTTACTAAGAAGGTGGAAATAAAAATATTTAGTAGTTTCAATTTTTTGAGGAAAAGTCATTCCTCATAATTTCTTTTGCTTGTTATATAAATCCGATTCGCTTTGAGAAACTTTTATTTTGTTATATAGGGTGAGCAAAAATACAGATTTTTAAAATTAAACATTTTTAAATATTTTTTTTTCTAGCGCTAATATAAAGAGCTGGTAAGGGGAAATCTAAAAGTCAAATGAAGTTTTTTCATATGAGTTTTTGATACCAAGATATTTGATATTCAAAATTAAAGATATTATTTTTCAAATTTTAACAAATAATTGTAGTCATGTCAGTTAAAAGCAACCTTGATTAATAATCACAAAATGAGATAGCAGTCAATTTCTACAAAATAATATGACCACTCAAGTTAGGACCTGAATCGATTTTATGTTTAATAACAAATATCTTACTAACCACATGAAAAAAAATCATCTGGCATGAAAAAAAATCATCTGGCTTTTTGGTTTCTTCGTTTTTACATTAATATTGACAAGTTGTAACAATTTGTATCGTTAATTGTAAGTATTATTCAGCAATACTAGTTTAGTTTAGTTTAGTTTATTTATTTTTTCCAATAATACAATATTACATTGTGTTGGAGTTTAAACGTTCGAAACATGTAATTAATAAAAAATGTAAAAAACATAGGTACCTTTATGTAAAAGTTCTTTTTTTTTCCATATATTTCCCATAATTTAATCTAATTAGAGGGTCCGAATATGATTTAGCGTTTTTATTTTGAATAATTTCCGCAAATAATGATGAAGAAACGGAAAAATCAAATTTTTAGTCGCAAATATTATCGCGATCTCAGTACTTTGGACAATCCAAAACCACGTAGAAAGCAAGAAAATTTGATTTAAATTCGCAGAGTTCCAAACGTTAATACGTTACGCTTACTGGTACTTGAATTGTCTTTTGAAAAGGTATTTTTATTGCTCATATGAGCCTATTTCATGGGAAATTTACTGCTCTTTCAGATGGCGTCAAGCGTTTTTGTGTTAAACTTAAATAATTAATAGTAATTTGAACATTTATGCGGTAAAATGCGTCAGAATGTCCGTACGTTACGCGTGGAAATGCTCTTTAGTAATTTATATTTTTAAAGTTTTTATGTATCTAAAAAAATATTTTTGTTTTTTTTTATCAACTCTAATAATTTTGATGTATTTTTAATCTTATTAATTAATATTTGTTGCATTTATTAATATTTATCATAATCTTATGGTGTTTTTTTAAATTTCATTAAGTTTTTGTAATCAATTCTAATTTTATAAAATTGGCGCAATTACGTCATCACCACCTGTTTTTTAAGTATACGGAAAAATGCAAAAAAAACCAAATCTGAAAAGTAGTTTTCGAGTTATTTAGCACAATATGCTGTTTATAGATCAGAGGGGTGGGACCAAACACGTGACGTTGATTTATTTAAGGTTTGTTAAATATTTATGTTGTCAGCAATTGCTACAAAGTATGGTTATGGTTCACCTTTCAATGGAAGGGGGCCTTTGAGCCCTATTTGAAAGTAATTTGTGGACAGAGGCCTACATGCTAGCTATGAAAGTACTTGAGTAGTGATTTTTATATCCATTAGTTTTGTTAAATATTTAATGTTGGCATCCGTTGCTACAAAGTAAGGTTATTGTCCACTTTTTGAAGGCTTCAGGGCCCTCTAAGCCTATAACAGAGAGGAAAACGCGAAAAAATGTACATATAAACATAAATAAAAAAATACCTATAACACAACATAAGTCATCAAAAAACTATTTTAACAAAATATAAATGCGTTTTTGATGGTTTATTTGCCATTTATTTTTTGCACCATTGCTCTGATCGTAGTATCGCACCATAGACCGCTCACAAAAAACCACAGTTTTAAATATGAGTCGATCTCTCCGATGGTCGACGCTTCGGTGTGTCTGTACTTTAAAGTGTATTACGATTTAGCTTACTATTTTGTTACATTTTTTGTTAAAAAAGAAACAGAAATAAAAAAAAGTACTAAAAGGGGATAACGTTGGGTTAAATTGCACTAAAAATGTCTCAAACACATTTTGCACTAAGAATTTTATGTACTCGGTACTCAGTCCAAAGTACATTTTAAAAAAAATACTTGTACTTGTACTTATATCATTTAAAAATGTAAAAATGGTAAAATGGTGTAAAATGTTTTGTTCTCGAGTACATTTTTTGTACTCGAGTACATTTATTGTACTCGAGTACAATTTTTGTACTCAAATACTTTTGTTCTACTCGAGTACATTTGATGTACTGGAGTACTTTTGTTGTACTCGAGTACTTTTTGTACTAGAGTACTTTTTGTACTCGGCATCTTTGTGTTAAGTTACCATAACAACTACTGTAGTGGCACTACATATTCAAATTTAGCGCTATAATTATAATGCTTTAAGCCAGGTCTACAATTGTCGCAGGTCGGACCCCTGCGACAATTGTAGACCCGGCTTTAGATGCACTGAGGGTGGCGCAAATTTTACACGATATTTGTTAAAATGTACACAACTTCGTGTAAGATAACACGATATTTATTAATCATCGCAATTTTAGATTTTTTTTCCTGAGCGAGTTTTTGTCTCAGAACTCCCAAACCATCGAGTTTAACAAAATTGACTTAAGCATATTTTTTGAAGATGTTCTACAAAAAAGGTTTACTTGGAATTTCCCGTCAGATGTACCGTTTTCTTACATCATGCAAATTGGTATAGTTTTACAATTTGATCTTTCAACTTTGGAATTTTGTAATTCATGTAAAAATCAGTACCCGGAAAAAAAAAACGATAAATATTTTTATGGGAAATAAAATGCTCTACAAA